TTCAGGGCTGTAGAGGTCCTCTCTAGGTGCTGATCCACCATCTGGTCTGGGTACGTACTGGATCCGGGTGACTGCAGTGACCATCTGATCTGGATACAGACTGGATCTGGTGGCTACGGTGACCTTGGAATAAGAGAGAAACAGACTAATATTAGCGTAGATGCCATTCTTCTAGCAATGTAACAAGTACACTGGGTGTTATGGAAAGTGTTCCCGGTTCCGGTTGACCTAATTAATGCAGCCTAAAAATCCTTTAACGGATTTGAATATTAGAAATGTGTTAGTGTGTTATGTGTAAGCCAGGTTAAAGAGATGGGTCTTTAATCTAGATTTAAACTGACAGAGTGTGTCTGCCTCCCGAACAATGTTAGGTAGGTTATTCCAGAGTTCGGAATAACCTATCTAAATATTGTATGGTAATATTAATACCCACAATATTTATTTTAAAATCTTTTATATATTCCTCCATGGCATATTTAAGTCACACTTGAATGGTGGTCCTTCTGTGTCCAAAATTTATCAAAAAGATATAGGGACAAGGTTTTCACACTGACAGCTGCCATTGTAAGACAGTTAGCAACTCCGAATTTGTCCGAGTTCGCAACAGTAACTAAGGAGGGCGGGGCTTACCGATAGGTCAATTGCGAGTTTATATCTTGTAATTCTGACTTTTTTTCTCAGAATGATGAGATATAAACCCGCAATTGCGAGTTATAAAGTCCAATTTTAAGGGGGAAAAAAGACTGGTGTTCTCAGAATTGCGAGTTTATATCTCAGAATTCTGAATTTAAAAAAACAAACAAACAAAAAAAAAGTCACAATTTCGAGATAAACTCGCAATTCAAAATTGTGGATAAAAAGTCGCAATTTCCTTTTTAATTTTTTTATTCAGTGGCAGAAGACTTCCATATTGTTGTTACTTAAAAAAAATATATTTTTGTTAATGGAAACTACAGAACTAACTGAAATAAAATAAGTTAAAGTAGTAAATTACCACACCTTAAAAAAAATGTTAAAGTCCCCCTGTAGTGAAAATCAAGTTTTTTATGTTGTTTATTTGTCTATGTGGTGTTTTTAATATGCTTTTAGACAAACCATGTGCCAATCTATTAATCAACACCATTGCTGTGTATTTTCTCCTTAAAACTAGTTTCCCAAAGGCTGACCTAGAAATATGGTTTGAAACAGCCCTTGGTTTGCTATGTCACAAACCAATAACCAATCACGTCAAGGGATTGATTCCTATCACTAGCATGCAAAATATACCAATACCAGCACAAAACCAAAAATAAATCAGAGCAAAAAACCCATGAAGCTGTGGTTTAATGTGAATTTAGAACCGCTAACTTGCATTATAACCCGTGGCAACAGTGTAAAAGTAGCCCGGAGTCAGACGCACCTCTCCCGCTCTTCACACGCGTATGCTCGCGGGCGCGAATTAACAATCACAAACGGCTGCATTCGAGTCTTCAAGGCATTTTAGGACACAACATCGTCAAGTAAGTAACTTTAACGAATGTTACAGTATTCACTGTAGTTGTCCGCTAGTAAAAACATAGTTTTATCAGTCATTACCCGTGTATGACATTGTTTTGCGGTTACTACAGTTCAGTGGATCAGGAGGCGCTGGCTGGTGTGACTGAGTGGAGGCGGGACTAATTTGCATATTAATAGATCCACGTATAGTAAATGAGGCAAGGGTGTAGAGTTACATTCAAGCTATTTTAAGGCATGAGAAAAGTATTTTCACAAGAAAAAACATTTAAATATGTCATTTTGATGATCAAAGATAAGTTTTAAGGGATAAAATATTTGACTACAGGGGGACTTTAAAAATATGGAACATTTCTTATTTCAAACCTAATAAAAATGACAAAAGCACATAACAAAATTACTCAAATGTAAACTAAAAAAATAAAAAATAAAATAAAATAAATTGTATTCATGAATACTATAATAGTAAATAAATATTACTGGAACAACCAGGGGTGCGGGAAGATGCTTTCGGTTGGGGGTGCTGTGTGCGTCCGTGTTGGGGGGGCGCTAGCGTCACTTGTTCATGAGGATTAGGCTAATCATCCCATATAGAAAACATCAAGTAAAATTAATCATGTTTATAAAGATAAACATGGGTTTATTATAGCCCACGTACCATTTACATTTCAGAGGTCATTACAAATAAATTATTAAATGCTAAAACTGAATAAATTTAAATGAACAAACCTGGCGTTGCATTTGCAACCATGTGAAAACGGGGTGTTGCAGCCCCCTCAGCACCCCTACTTCCCGCGTCCCTGGGAACAACACATATGTTTGTGTGTTTTGTTATAATATTTGAAACGTTGTTTGTTTGTATTATAATTTGAATATAAATGTGAATATAAATGTTTTTATGTAGTTAAATGTTTTATGATTTCATAAAATAATTTTTATAAAATATCCTGAGACTCTAGAATGTAAACTGTAAAAAAATACATAATTTAAAATGTAACCTTTTCCTGTTTAAAATGAACAAAAATGAAATGACTGAGTACATTGTAAAACCATTTTCTATCCTGTGTTTTTGCTTTACACTAAATCACTGTGGTAAGCCATAATTATTTATATTTTAGAGTTCTCGGGACAGATTTCCTGGGAAACGGTATACTTTCATCATTTGTTTGTGCATGTTGCGTCACAGGTGAGGCTGCTACAATATCCATATACGGGAAAGCGAGAGTACACGATACAAAACACAAATAGTAATTGTAAGGTTTGCAAACTTTTATAATTCTCAGCCGCTTTAGTCTCTTTGGTAGGGACAACTCTACGTCGCTCTATGTTAGTGGTGAATTCTCACACCTCACACCCTTTTTTACTCCCTTGCTCTTTTTTTTGTGTGTGTGTGCATTTTTTATTTTATTTTCACTGGTGTTTAGTGCTTGTTCCTGTTGTGGTGCATGGCTCCGGTCTCCTGGAATGGTTCTCAGATACTGTACAGGCATGTGGTGCGGCCATGTTTCCTGAAGCATGAAGCCAGAGTAGATGAGATGGTCAACAATATAGGAGGGAAGGCCATGTCAGCAGCTGAGAACGCCACGAGAGAGGGTATGCAACATAAGAGCCGATTCAAAACACCATTCTTTTCCAGAATATCTGATCTTATTCACCAGTAAACCTCATAATCAAATAACGAAATAATCTGAAGATAAGAAAATGTTAAGATGTTAAGAAATTTTGAATAGATATTATAACTGACACAATCGGCCATGAAATAATCGTGACACATCTGCATTTTCAGATCACACCTAATAAAAGCTTTAGTCACACATGCAGAAATCAATAATAATTAAAAAAAAATGACATTCTTTGAAATTTAAAATATAAATTGAAATAAAATTCAATTTTTATGCCACTGCTCAGATTGGCTTGCACTGTATTTCATCACATAACACATGGATTAATGCTGTTCCGTGAGGTCACAGAGATTCCAGCAAGGAGACAAATACCAAGGTTACATTCTAAATATAGGGACTGAGAAACAAACCGATTTAGACAGATCAATCCATCACCAAGATCCATTTAATACATTACGTAACATGATATAATATTTCTTTAACAGCATCATAAATGTAATGGAGAATTGTTTATTCACACTGCAAAACTTAAAGAGTTTCAATTTAAATGTAAAATAAGCGGATTGATGTCAGCTCATTATTTGTATATATGAATATAAATGTTCTAATCACTGTCAGAATTTGTATCAACTGTTCAGGTTGGCACTTGTTCTATCCATTATTCTCTCTATTGCAGTTCTTCAGACTCTGGTGAGAAACCGGACTATTGGCCCAGCTGAGCCTGAAGCCAGAAGACTGCCCAGTTCTGCTCCTGTATGTCATCATAATGCTAATAAACCCACATTTGACAAGTCATGCAGTTTTCTGTTCTTAGATTTTCTGCATATTAATCTATCTCTCTGTGCTGTCTCTTCTTGCATGTGTCTGACTGTAGGCTGAACCCACAGTTGATTAAACGGTACGTTTTCAGTGTGTGTATGAGGTGGGAGGTATTTGTTTTAAATGTTTTACATTTGATATGTTTTATATATATGTATATATTATTTTATTTATTTTTTCTTTCTACATGCAGAAATACAGGTGGCTAAAGTGATCTGAGGATGACACAAACATGCAAGAGATGCAGCATCATGTTGAAGACATAAATTCTGACAGCTGTATCATATGGTCTCATTGTAAAGACCTCAATGAGTGAATCAATGCCTGGTTTTCACACAGCCGATGTCAGGAGTGGAGTTTTGGACTTTATAGTTTAATAACCTGATGTATTTCTTTTCACTGTTCATATAAATTTGTTCAGATTGTTAAATGTCTTCAGCATTTAAACATAGCAAAACAGAAATGTACTGTAGGAAATTCAACAGACATTCAACAGTGTATTTGTTATTTACTTATTTATTTATGGGTAGTAATTTGTTGTATTCATGGCATCCGTCAGGGATTTTGTAATCGTATTATTATGATAAAAATGTAAATCTTCAATAAATTTTTGTATTCGACATTTGAAAAGATACTTTCTTGTAGAATTATTTTTTTCTTATGTACCACTGACGTCATCAGCTTAAGTCCTAAAACTGAATGGAACTCCAACTGTTGAGTTTTTCAGATGAAAATGTGCAACAGAAACCGTTTTCATTGTCACCATGCTCATCGTTTTCGTTTACTAAGATACACAAAATATTTATTCTATAAATAATTACGAGATATTGTGAAATTTTGAATTAATAATATAAAGAAAAAAGTGTATTAATTTATAATTAATAATGGAAATAAAAACATTATAAAATGAAATTTATAAAATATCTGATTCATAAAAGCTTATCAAACTGAAGTGTGCGTTATGCAAAAAACATAAATAAATAATTGTACTGCATTCAATCATACAAACCTGTATGGTTGTAGATCATATATAAACTTGTTTTATTTATTTCTTATTGTGAGATCATTATGGTTTAATTTGTACGTCTGTGTTTGCTGTAAATTGATCTCAGCTTGTGTTTTTGTAACAGTCTTTTTCTGTTCTGTTTACAAATGTTTGCTGTTTTACTCTGAGTCGAAAGATGGCGACAGTCATCACAAAGATCTTCGTTGTGTCATCTCTGTAGCTCATACATGTGAAATATGTTCAGTCTTTACTTGTTGAGATTGTTTCAAGAGAGTACAGTATGCCCATCAACATGAACACTAATGCTTTATAAACGTCACATCCTTGTTGTTTAAAATTAGAGCTGTTGCGTCTCTAATCAGGATGAATTTTGGTTCCAAAAGCAAGAAGCGGGTGGTTCTGCCATCCAGACCGGATCCGCCAACCGTGGAGCAGATCATGGAGGACGTGAACCGAGCCTGTCCTGGTGTTCACTGTTTCACACGATTCTGCTGAAGAAACTGTTACCGGACAGACGAGGATATCTCAGCACTTTGACTTAAAACACCCGCTCTTTTAAGCACAAATACAGCGCTGTTTCATGCAGCAATTCAGGGAAATGAACATATCTGAAAAATAAGTTATTGTAATTCATTTCAAGACACTGAACATACAAAAGTAATGTTGCGAATGTAGATGAACAGTTGACATAAGAAGCCAGTTATAATAGTTAGCTACGATTTGTTCACATGGAGGGTTAAATGGGGGAAATATGCCTCCCTTAACAACAATGTGCATTTGTTACATTGCAAAATATTTTCAGATATAAGTTGCAGGATGATAAAAAAAAGTAATAATAATAAAAACACCATACGTTCAAGTCAGTCCGAACACAACAAACTCAAGCAGGAACACGAGCCCAATTAAAAGGTCAAAATATCCATCATGATTGATATCCTCCAATGGATATCAATGAATGTAACTTACCAACACAATCTCTCAGCAATTCATAATTATTCTATGTTTTGGGCGAATTTGTGGCTATATAATTCTGCATAATTCCATTCATAGGTTTTTGTACAGTCTGCTTACTCCCCAAGGTTAGGCGTGGTGCTTTCACTTTTGCATCCGGCTTCGCTACCGTTCGGACGTTCTTGCTTACTTCTCTGCGCTTTGCTCCCTATTTCTGTACTTTTCTTTGATTTTTCTAAGATTTTTACTTCAGCAGATCAGCACAGTGCTCAAACAACATATTTTTGGCACAAACACTAAAACTAAAGCACTTTGAATTACCATTGTGTATGAAATGTGCTATATAAATAAACTTGCCTTGCCTTGCCTTTATGCTTACTTGTTTTCTAACAAATCACATCATAAAAATTCATATGAAATAAGCATCTCATAAAACGGGTACATTTTCTCTTGAGATCAGACTGTGGTGCAGAACTGCAAATTATCATTACTTTAAGTAATGTTAGTCTCTAATATATAACGAGGAGCGTATAGACAACGTTTTGCCTATATACAAACACATTTTTGTCCTTTTTCTAGTGTTTGTTCATGTGGTAATGTTAATCCAATTCATAATTTCATTGGTAACTTGACGTTCTGTTCTTTTGTGTGTTGTGTTTGTTCACCTGGTCATGTTTGTCCCATACAGACAGAATTATATTAGAATTCAAGTTGTCTGTTTTTTAAGCCCATGTCTTAGGTACTTGTTTCAAATGGCAATTTAAAAAGTTTTTAATAACAGTGGGGTAATTAGTGATTAAATGTATTATTTAATCTTGGCCAACTTCTTTGCTACTGCTAGCAGTGTTGGACATGGATGTTAGCTAGTGTGGCACCTTTGCATGCATGATGGTAATATTTGGCCTTGACTTTTCAGATCTGAAAGCCAGTTCCAGCAGCAGCGAAGTGGAGGCGAGATACCTGCAGAGCAGACGCTACATAGAGCTGCATGAGCGATTGCAAGAGGAACGTGGCAGTCTCGCACGGTGGAGAGATGAGCTGCGTGCGGCTGGGGAGTCTTTGGAGTACAGCGTGATGGAGGTGAAGAGGAGCGCGCTGTGACAACTCGCCTGTAGCTTTTGAACTTGAGCTCATTCAGTAACTGATGACTGAGCATGGCACTTGATTTCCATGGAAGAGCCTTTCCTCTTGCTAAGCTGCTGTTAGCATTTAGGTTCAATGTCATCATAACAACTCTCTAAATGTGCCACTTGGACACTTTTTACATTTTTAATTTATGTTTGTGATATTTCTGGCTGATTTTTTTTAATTAAATCTACTTGGTCAATGTTAGTGTGTTGTGTGTGTTCAGTACTGTGTAAGTGCAGTCCATTCCATAACTTGTGCGGTCTTAATGTATTTTTCATTATTTAATGTAATTTACATCTAATTTTCACAATCCAAGCTTTCTTGAGTTTACTGTTTACTGGAATTGTTCAGGGTAGACTGTATATATTATTTATATATATATATATATGTATATATTCATCACAGTGACATTTTCACATGTGTTAAAGTGGAGAAAAAGTGAACATAAATCTCATTTAGGTTTATGAATTAAAGGCAGCAGTCTAGTTAATAACAACAAAAAAAAGTAAGAACAAAAGAGCACATTGGCAAAATGATGGCTTAATAAAAGCAAGGCTACTTTATGATATATGACATTACCTAATGATAATTTAAACAGCGCTTAAAACTAGACTTGTGGTAGTTGGTGGTTTCCCTCAGATTTGGGGTGAAAGGTGGCCTGCCCCTTTTATAATGATGAAATGGTTTGCCACATGGAAAAAAAAAAAAAAACTGTGAACATTGCAGTCAGGGTTGCCAAGTCTGCAGGAATTGGGCTTTTAAATCACCCCCCCCACAATTTTCTATTTGACTAAAATGTTTGTATTAAAATATTTTATAACAATTATGAAACTGTGCTAGATGTGAAGTTTTGTGAAGGAGGAGCACTGAGAAACTTTAAGTTCTTGTGCTTCTTTATGAAAACAGATTGTGTTTATGATTACTAGGATATAGTGGTTTTCATATTGAAATTGTTAATGCCACATAACACTGACTTTAAAATATGTATTACAGGTACGTGAGTGGTATATTTTAAGTTTTGTTAGTTGTGATAGGGTCATTAGACTAGTTTGGGCTGTTTTTGATTGGCCGTTGGACTAGTGTTGTTACGCAGACCTGGCAACCCTGAAGATATGCAGAAGGCATCTACCATTGAATAAATTACTTCCACTCAGATAAAGTAAGGACACAGGTTTTATGAGAATGTTTATTTGAGGACCCCTTAACCCTTGGCCAACACCACATTCTTTCAAACAACATTCTGAACCCAATTCATACTTTGACAAGACCTCTCAAATATGCATAACATTTTCCCTTTATGTCAATTTGAATTTAGCATTGCATCATATTGCTTTATCCCGACCACCACTGATAAGGGTCATTACAACATTACACTGAGCTCTGTTACTGGTCAATTTCAATATCTTCAGAGGACGTCTTTAATGTGGGAACACCAGTTGGTATCGGCACTCACGGTCACAGCACATCTGAAATACACTGTAGTTCTCTGTATCATTCTCAGAATTTGTGGGATCAATGACTTTTCTTTTAGGAGAGAATGCATGTTTTCTGACTAAAAGAGACAAATTGAGCGAAGCTGCTATATTACAGTTAAAACAAAGCCCATGTAAATACTGCACCTCACCAAATAAGACAAACACTTTTTTTGTGCTGGCTAATTGGCCATAGTGAAACCTACACTGATCATATGTCTACAATATTTGCTTGTGTAGCTGCAGTTTTGGCAATAGGCTTTGGTTGAATGGAAGCCATTTTAAACATTCTACAGCAGTCTGTTAGAATTCAGCCCAACTTACTGTAAATGGCAAGTATTTATCTCAATCCACAGAGTTGCTACTCATTAGCTTGCTTTTAAATACTTAAAGCATAATGTGACTCTACACAAAATGACATTATGAAAGCATTCAGTAAGCAAGAGTATGTACAGCCACTTAATTATATTGCATACATTTGCTGAACACTCAACAATTACAACAATCTTATATTCAAAAATGCAAATGTGTGGGTAGAGATTCATGGTTGTACTTACAGTCTGTCATTTTCAATGAAAAAAGAAACTGCAAAGTCAACATCATGTGTTTACAGTGGACAAGTGAGTATTTAGCATGCTATTTGTAGCAATGGCAGGATTACATTTTGCCTTCTGGGAAGCATTTGACTACAGTTGTATATCAGTATTTACAACATTACCACTAAATATCCATGACAATTACATAGACATTTTGTGCAGATTTTACCTATTGTAGCTATATTTTCCTGCAGTAATAATAAGTGAAGGCAAGAGACTGTTTAACCTGTCTGTGTGGCATAAAGGCATGTGCATACATGGTTCTCATGTGAGAGTACAACAGTCTTTTCTGGTTTGCAGGTGGCACATGGTCTTTTAAAGTATTTGTCGCTGTTGTTCGAAGAATAGTTTGCATATTGTTCTAAATGTAGGCCGTAATGTTTATCTGTGGATAACACACTT